TTTGAAAGCCAAAGTTGATTTTGAAAATCAAAATGAAATTTTGAAAAATGATTTAGAGTTTTCAAAAGTCAAAATTAATGATTTAGAAAAAGAAAATTTTGATTTGAAAGTTAAGCTTGAGAGCTTAACAAAAGAAAAAGAATTAATTTCTCAAAACAATTCATTATGTTTAAAAATGGAAAAATGCTCATATTGTCATTTTTATGGTCATTTGGAACATATTTGTCCCATAAAGAAAAGAAAATCTTTTAAAATTAGACAAGTATGGGTTCTCAAGGGAACAAGGGGCATTGAAACTAACATCCAATGATCCAAAGCAATTTGGATACCAAAATCCAAATAAATGTCTCTTTTAGGTGTGTGGGAGCAATGGTGATGAAAATGAAGAAATTGAGATGCTCTAGCCACACTTGAAAATGAATGAGTAACCTCTAAGCTTAATGTTTTTGATTTTGATTATTTGGTTGCTCATTTAGTTTTAACCATGCATGAGTTTTGATCTTAAATGGCTATGTTTTGTTTTTCATCTCATGTATGCTGAAAAAGTTTTATGATGAAAATTTTAATTTTTTTTAATGATTTTTCATAATTTTTAGTTCATCATAATGAATTTTGGTCAAAATTGATTTTCAATGCAAATGATATCTCTCTAACAATTGATATCAACTTTTCAAATGCTTTGATTTTACAAATTTTAAAATTTTTGACCTAAATTTAATTGTTTATGCATGTGTTTTAAATGTTAAATATATCTCTCTAACAATTGATATCAAACTCTTCAAATGCATAACATTTTTGAAAGCTTTATGCATGTGTACTTAATTTCAATTATTGGTATTGCATAAAGTATTTTAGACTTGGATATATTGAATTTCATATGATACTAACATGTTTGTTAATCTTTGTTGAAATTCAATTTTATTTAAGTGTCAATATTGTAAAGCTAATTTTGTTTGGAATGCAATTTTTGAGGGGGGATTTGATTTTTCAAATGCTTTTAATGTCAAATTTACCACTTACTCTCCAATGTTATTTTTGAACTTTAAAGTCGAATTCTTTTTGATCTAACAAAAAAGGGGAGACGTATGGTTTGAAAAATTCAATTTCTTAATGACAAAGAGGAAGCTGAACATTTACACATATTTGCCATGAATTGATATCTTTTTCATTAAACATTTTATTAAAGGGGAGTTTTGCCAAAAAACAATTTTTCAAATGTTTTGTTAAATCAAAAAGGGAGAGATTGTTGAACTATATTTTGATATAACAATTTAAGGCAAAATGTTTTTGGACTTGAATTGAATTTATTTAAAGTTTTTTAAAGTTTTCAAAAATAATTCATAGTCCTTAAAGTTTGGAATTGAGCACAAAATTTTTTTTCTAGACAAACAATACCGATACCTAATGAACAGTACCGATACTGTTCATATGGTACCGATACCAAGGTAAGGGAAGTATCGATACTCACTAGGTAGTACTGATACCACCAGTATTGCTCAAATTCCAGAATGTAAAAATGGTACCAATACCCAAAGGGGTACCTATACTACTATATATAGTAGTATCGATACCATAGACATAGTATCGATACCATCAGGCCCCAACGACTAGTTGATTTAAAAATAAAAAAAGGTAGTACCGATACTCCCTTTAGGAGTACCGATACCCTCTGTTCTGGGCAGCTTTATTTTGCACGAAAATTGATCCCCAACGGCTCCAAAACACTCCCAACGGCTAGAAACGGTCACAACAACATTCCAACATATAAAAACAAGTTGAGGACACTTGAAGAAGGGTTAAAACACCTATCCAAGCATTCAAACACAAGAGAAGAGCTTTTCACTCTTTATTCCAAGAGCTTTTCACTCTTTATTTCAATTCTCTTGTAAATATTTTGTTCTTGTGAGCTAAATTTTGTAAACATCCTACCTTGTAGAGGTTTATTTGTTTACTTCTTTTATCCTTTTTGTAAAGGGTTTTTGGTTCTATCTTAGCCAATTCAAAAGATAGGGAGTTGTAAAGGTTATCTCTTTGCCTTGAAAAAGAAAGAACAAATTAGTGAATTTGTTAGAAAATCCTTAGTGAGGAGCTAAGGTAGTGGATGTAGACTTGGTTGGTAAGTTGAACCACTTCAAATCCTTGTGCCAAATTTTCTATCTTTTGTTCTCCTTACTCCCAAATCAAATTATTGTCATTTAACCCCCTTTGCACTTTTTCGGTTGTTCAATTGAGCCTTTTCAAATCCTAACAATCTACCTATCCCTATGACAAATAATGCACATTCAAATGATGAGCTTAATTGCTCTTTATAAATTCATAACCCAAGCTTTGGGTGGTCTTAGTGAGAAATATTTGATGAATTTACCGATTTTGGTTGAATATATATTCTTAATAAGTTCATAACTAAGTGTTGAGTGGGTAGTCCTAATCGCGGAGAACTAGTTGAACTTACCCCTAGAAAGGATGAGTTTTCTTAAAACTCTTAATGAATTCAAACACAAGACTTTGGGTGTTCTTAGTGAGAAGGACATATTGAATTCACTGATTAATGAGGATGAATATTTATTCTTAATGGGTTCTTATCCCAGAGTTTCGGTTGTTCATTTAAAATGAACTTGAAGAAATTCATCATACCTATTGTGAGGTTGAGCTGTTGTAAAAGCTTTTAATTATTTCATAGTCCGATTTCGAGTGGTTTATGTTGAGATGAACCTGATAAAATAACCTACGTAAGTGAGAAGAATTAGTTACCTTCTATGACAAACGTTGGACCATTTTCCTAGCACACTTACTAGAATCCTGAGGTAAGATGGCTAAATATATATACATTCGTGTATATATATATATATATATATATATATATATATATATATATATATATATATATATATATATATATATATATATATATATATATATATATATCTTACACATCGAGAACTTCGGGGATGAAGGAGTTAGTTGTGTGTTATGAGTTTACTTTTTAATCGTGAGATACACACATGTATATAAATGTATATCATGAAATTTAGGCATAATACAAGAACTAGATTTAATATGCATAGAAAATCAAACAAAAATTAAAATACAAAGGTATGAGAAATATTTAATACAGATAGAAAGTACCTAAAAAAGACCTTAAAAACATATTCCATATACAAATGTACCTAAAAAAGGGAATTCACGTGAACACCTTATATACAAATGTACATTAACATATTCCATAAAAACATATTAAACATTCATTAGATTCTACATGTAATAAATACACCTATATTATTTAATCATAATTACATTTGTAAAACATGCAAGAAAAACAAACTTGTATTTAGTTCTGGTTAGCTTGATGTTAGGATTAGATTAGGTTAGGATTTAGTTTTGGTTTGGGCCGGTTCTTGTTAATCCGGACAAAATCAAATTATCACAAGTAAAATAAAATGTTTTATTAAATTTATCGGATTTTAAGCATTTTAATCTCTCCTTAAAAATGATCCATAATGGCTCTAATATTTTTAAAAACCTTTTCTAAAACCTCGTCGAATGCTACCCAAAAGCCATTACGACAAACCCATATGTTCAATTTTTTAATATTATATACATTAAAATATGACTTTATAATAATTTAGAATTTATTAATTTATAACTTCTTATATTTTTTAAGTTTTACTTGTTTGTTTGTAAATTACGTTGATGGTCTCTTATATTTTCGACCCGTTCGATTCTGGTTATCGTTTAAAAAAAACTGGTTCTAATTCCTTACCTTATAAATTAAATCAATAACGTAAGGGACTAGAATCAATCCTTCTTTGAACCGGTGACTAAAATCTAATGGACAGAAAACATAGGAGATCACAGTATAATTAGCCCTTAATTTTTGAATTTTTTAATATTACTTTTATTTTTAATAAGTTTTAGTGTTTTAAATATTTCGAAATTTTAATAATTTATTAAATTAAATAAAGTATTAAACTTTCTATAAAAATCAATTAAGTCTCAAATTTGATCAATAAATCAATTAAGTCCTTTTATCTTGTTGTCATTCACATGTAGGCGGTGATGTTAGCATAATAAATTATTATGTTAAACGTAGTGAACTGTAATTAAGAGAATTTTTATCAGTTAAATAATAATATTAATGCAATTAAGAGGATTTTAAAAAGAAAATAATAGAATTAAAAATAGAGGAACAAAATTAACCTGTAATCCTATTTTTTGTCGAGGGCGGCTTTGAAAATTCAATCCTTTTTCCCAGTTTTCCGATTCATAGTCCGGCGGCTAATTACAATTATAAACTCTAATTATTGTGTTTAAGGTATTTAATATTCGTTAAATTTTATGAGTAGAATTCGTATTAGTGTATATTTTAATTTGATTATTATTAGGGTAAAGTATATAAATAGTCCCCTAACTTTTAGGGCGCTTGCATTTTGGTCACCAAACTTTTGAAACTTACAATACATTCATCGAACTTTTAGTTCGTTTTCATTTACGTCCATTCCGTTACCTTCTGGTAGGGATAAAAAATGTGACCATGATTGAAAAATGGTTAATAGGGATTAAAATGTGAAGGCTCAGCATGATATCTGAAATTTTTGGGTTTCTGGTTTTTTGGATGTTAGGGTTTTGAGAAGGAGGAGGAGGAGGAGATAGTTGATAGGAGGTTAACTGCCATGTCAGCGAAAAACTAATGGAGGTAATGGCAGGAACGGAAATGAAAACGATCCAAAAGTTCGATGATTGTATTGCAAGATTCAAATGTTGGGTGACCAAAATGCAAGTGGCTAAAAGTTCGGGGACTATTTATATACTTTACCCTTATTATTATTAGTTTGAGAATAATAAGAATAAGAATATGACATTACAAGGAATGATTGTAGAATTGACCCCTCAAACCTACTTTTGTTTCATTCAACATAAAAAAATTTCGTAGTGCTTTATAGCATAGGCTGTTACGTAATGGCTTTCGCATACCATCTTCCCTTTCCAATCACTATATAACACTCGCCCCATCCCCACAACTCCTTGAAATTTGTAGCAGATTCAGTGAAACATCAAAACATGGCGATCGCAAAAGTGGGGAGGATCAAACTGGGTTCTCAGGGACTGGAAGTATCAGCTCAAGGCCTGGGTTGCATGGGCATGTCAGCTTTCTACGGTCCCCCGAAGCCCGAATCCGACATGATCTCGCTCATCCATCACGCCGTCGATTCTGGGATTACCCTTCTCGACACCTCCGATGTTTACGGCCCTCACACGAACGAAATCCTCCTCGGGAAAGCGTTGAAAGACGGTGTTCGAGAAAGGGTCGAGTTGGCTACCAAGTTTGGTATAGAGTATGCCGATGGCAAAAGGAATATCCGTGGTGATCCTGCATATGTTAGAGTTGCTTGCGAAGGTAGCCTGAAACGTCTTGGTGTTAGTTGCGTTGATCTGTATTATCAGCATCGGATTGATACCAAGATTCCCATTGAAATCACGGTTTGTTTTTACCATCCTTTTACTTGATGCTCACGTAGTTGATAAAGTGTTTGTATTAATGTCACACTGAAATGAATGGATTTTGATCCAGATTGGAGAACTTAAGAAACTAGTTGAAGAAGGTAAAGTTAAGTACATAGGTTTGTCTGAGGCGTCGGCTTCGACGATTAGGAGGGCGCATGCGGTGCATCCTATAAGTGCTGTTCAGCTAGAGTGGTCTTTGTGGTCCAGAGATGTCGAGGCTGACATTATTCCAACTTGCAGGTTTATTTATTCATAAGACTTGAACAAATTTCAAGTAAAAGGGTGTTGATATTCTATGTTCTAATGTGATTTCTTTTATGATTTTCCAGAGAACTTGGTATTGGGATTGTTGCTTACAGTCCCCTTGGGAGAGGCTTCTTTTCATTAGGGTCTAAAATTGTTGAAACCTTGTCCGATAATGATTACAGGAAGGTTTGTAGTTTGTCTTTATTCTTTGGTGATACGTTGGATAGAAATTAAATTGTTTTATTATATATATATATTTTGTTTTTAAGATTGCATGATAATTAAGTTTATGTAATTAAGAATTCTTATTATAAAGAGTAGTCTCATCCATAGAGATAGATAAAGTTGAGTCAGGTTAAATCTCGTCTCTTATGTATGTCTTATTTTATGTTGATTTCGTTTTGATTATTTCTCCGCTAACGAATGCCTAAGACAATGATTTGACTGAAAATCTGTCATTTTTATTTTCACAGGTTCTACCAAGGTTCCAGCCTGAAAACATGGAGCATAACCAACGCCTTTACGAACGAGTTAATGAGATAGCAGCAAAGAAAGGGTGCACCCCATCGCAACTTGCATTGGCTTGGGTTCATCACCAAGGGAATGATGTCTGCCCCATTCCTGGAACCACCAAGATCGAAAACTTCAACCAGAACGTCGGAGCTCTGTCCGTAAAGCTAACACCCGAAGAGATGTCCGAGCTCGAATCCATGGCTGTGGCAGATTCCGTGAAAGGAGATAGATATGGCGGCGTCCTTGTTACTCACGAAGATTCCGAAACTCCTCCATTGTCTTCATGGAAACCCTGAATACCATATTCGATGAAATCTTCGTTATAAGATAGGGTCTTATAGTTAATGTAACGCCCTCAACCCGAGTCTATATGTTGTTCCCAAAGAATAAAGTGTATACCAAAAGTAGCAGTTTGTGTGTGTTTGTCATGTTGAGATTGTGTATTCCAAGGATAATAAAACTACTGTTTCTGAAACAAGCAATTTGAGTGAATACATTGTGAATGGTAACGTCGATATAATCAAATAGAGATGTGGAATAATAACTCGTAATTTTTTATTAAAAAATTGACCATTGTCGAGTTAAATATTACAAACTTTATCGTTTTATGTGTCTCGATCGTAAAGGTAATTAAAAAATATCGTTAAGTGGCAAGTGGCGTATTTGATAATTTTGAAGATTTTATTTAAAATAATATTTTTTTAATATAAAGATTTATTTCTAATTTTTTTTAAATAAATTTTTTAAAATTATCAAAATTCAAAACGTGTCACATAATAGGAGTTTTTAACGACCCTTATGGTCGTGCACTTACAATGGTAATGCTTGTAAGGTTAGTCACCTGAATTGACAAAAAAATAATTTATGCACCTAAATGAGAATAACGGTATAGTTTAGACACTTATTTTTATATTAAATCTTTTAAATTTTAATATAAAAACTAAAATTGATTAAATTAAAATACAAATATTAAAACCATAACCTATATATAGTACAAGTAGTAGCCATAGATTTGACCTCTATATTTATGTAACTTTTAATTAACTACTTATTTTAGTTATATAAATATGATATTTTGTTATCATAGGTTATAATTATACATGTGGTGGTTTTATATTTTATATGAATTTCGATTGGTCTATAATTTATTTTATATAAAATTATGACATTTTCTGAACTATTATTTTGTTTTTTATATTATATTATGTTTTAATAATTTTAAAAAATTCATATTATATAACCATATCCTATCAAATATTTTTCACGTCTTTTTTTTACGCTTTTTAACCCCCTATTGTTTATAAAGTTTAGGGTATACTACATCAGATACCACTAAACTTTAGGTGTGTATCATTTATATCATTGAACTTTCAATTTTATCAATTATAATACTGATCTTTGATTTTCGTTTTAATTATACAATTGAGCCGTTAAATCATTAATGGCATGATGACGTGATTGACGACTGTCTACGTGGCTGACGATTGGGGACATAGACACCTCACCAAAACGACATCATTTTGATCCATCTGTTAACGATTTAACAGCCCAATGATATAATTGAAACAAAAATCAAAATTCAGTGCTATAATTGATAAAATTAAAAGTCCAAAGGTATAAACAATACAATGCTTAAAATTTAGTGGTATGTACCCTAAAGTTTATCTATCAGACTATCACGCCCTATTGTTAGTTCCCACCAATGTTTTTCCCAACTTGGTACTCGAAAGTTTTTTTTTGGTAAATTACAAATTTCATAATTCAACTTAATCTCACATTTATTTTGGTCATTAAATTAAATTTTTTAAATTTATATCACTCAAATTTAAAGATAATTTTTTTAATCATTCCATGATTATTTCAACAACTCAATGAATACATGACCTATTTTATATATATTCCTATTATGTGAGCCCCAAGTCATATTATTCTTTTTATCATTAAAATCAATCATATTTCTTTGATTAAAAAATGTCACGCGATATAACTTTGGGTAAAGTACATAAATGGTCCCTTGACTACAAGGCGTTATTTTGTTGAGTTCTTCAACTATTAAAATTATAAAATAGTCCCTCGACTATAGGGTGATACATTATTGAATCCATCTCCTATTAAAAGTAACAAAATCATCACTCGACTATTAATATGTTCTAAAACTCGTAATTTTTTTGTTTGTTAAAAATTTATGACTCTCTGAGTTGGAGGTTAATTTCTTAACTAAGATATGACAATTGTTTGAGATTTTATGATAATATTTTATCATATTATAATCAACATGTTAATTTACAACTTAGATTGTCGTCAATATTTTAACAGAAAATGACAAGTTTAGAACATTTCGTAACTTTTAAGAGTCGTGGAATTCAACAAAGCAATATACTATAGTCAATGGATCATTTCTTAACTTTTAATAGTTAGGAAATTGAATAAAAAATGCCCTATAGTCGAGTGATCATATGTGTACTTTACTCTATAACTTTTTATTGGTCAAAATTTATTAAGGATATTAAAAAAATTAGGTGAAGTGAGTAACACAATTTTTTTTTTATAGAATCAACTAATTGTATTTAAAATAGTAAATATCTCAAATTACAATAAATATTTATAATCACAATTGTAAATTAAGCACATAATTAGGAAAATTTCGTATAACCATTGAAACAAAACTAGCAGCTTAAGATCACGTAAGGACCATGCAAGGAAAGATTAAATCTAACCAAGAAGCTCAAACAAAGATAGATACAAACAGATCTCGTCTCATCAGTAAACAAACCACAAAAGGGGATCAAGCTATTGAAAGACCATCGAAAAACCACAAATCAGACTCGAGCAACGTGAAAAGATATCCACGAACTCAAATCGGGTATCCAAATCCAATATGAGAGTCCAAAGCAAGGAAGATCAACAAGATATCATATAAGTGTCATCCTGATCAGTCGTGGCAATGTCAAATCAACCATTAGAAAAAGATAAACGAAAAATGACCAAAGAATCGAAAAAAATATGTCAAAAAGCATTAGAAAATGTGCCATAAAGGCATATGAAAACATGCAACATAAACATGCTTGTTGAAAATAAAAAACAAATGATAATAAAGATACGATATAGAAAAGAAAAAGACAATAAAGAATATCGACAGTTGGCAACCATCATTAAAGTTGGTGACGCCACCGATCAACAAAGACGAAAAAGAAAAAAGATGAACGACACACCAATGAAAGAAAATTAGGTTTTTCCCCACCACTTTTAAAATGGGCCAAAAAAAATTAAGAACAACATGATAAAACGCTTATAGTTTAGGGGCATTCGATTTTCAAGCATTGTTTTGAAAAAAAAGATCTAGGCAGAAATGCCATTGAAAATAAATATTTCACGTGTATCGTGATACATTTTTTTATTTTCTTAATTAGGAAGAAATTTGCATTGATCGAAAAAAATATCGGGTAATGTAGCGTTTTTCGAGAAGACGATTAGACGATATAATATCCTTCAATTTCCGTACATGTAAAAGACATCATATCACTCAATTATTTTTTTTGAAAGACAGTTTTGGGAAATCACATAATATCCTTTTTAATTAAGAATATTCAAACGGTATGTGTTCGCATCAATTTCTCATTCAACACTCAACCGTTTTGAGCATATGAGATATCGTTGTAACACTATAGCAAAACATGTTTTTAGCAATGTTTTAGCGGCATTTTGAGAGCAAACGCCACTAATTCCAAACATATAGCGACGTTTATATAAAAAAACCACAAATGGTAACATCAGTGGTGTTTTTTTAAAAATCGCCACTACATACTATTACTTTAGTGGCGTTTTTTACAGAAAAGCCACAATAAGGTTTATATATAGCGGTGTTTTACTGACTATTACTTTAGTGGCGTGTTTGACAAACGCCACAATAAGATTTATATATAGTGGCGTTTTTAAAAAATGCCGCTATTGACTACTACTTTAGTGGCGTTTTGTCACAAACGACGCAATAAGATTTATATATAGTGACATTTTTTAAAAAATGCCTCTACTGACTATTACTTTAGTGGCGTTTTTTACAGAAATATCGCAATATTCAATTTATCTAATAATTAAATTTATGAATATGTTGATGTTCAATTTAATATTCAAGGGTAAGCGACTACTATCAAATAAAAGTTGAAGTTGGAGTGAGAGAAACAGAGAGAGAAGCAACATATTAGAAAAAATATGAAGAACTTCAAAATCAACTTGAAGCTATGAAGCAACAGAATCAAGCGAAAAATTATTCATCCTAGTTGATTTCTTAGGTTAATGTTTTGTTTATTCTAGTGAACAATGTTGAACTATACATTTTAGTTAGATGTTTGTAAACTTTGAATTATTCATATTTTTATGTATTTTTACTTAATTGGAAACGTAATTTCATTTTAAAGTTGTTATTGGATATTGTTACAAGTTAAATTTAGGTAATACAAAGTAGGAATAAACATATTGAAAATTAGTTGTGATTAGCGGCGTTTTAGGATGAAAAACGCCACTAAAGGATTACATAATAGCGGTGTTTTTGTGGAAAAATGCCACTAAATACATAATTATTAGTGGCGTTTGAATCTAAAACACCGCTAAAGAAACTAACATTTTGCGGCGTTTGTGTACAAAACACCGCTAAAGAACATGACATTTCACGACGTTTGTTTGCAAAATGACGCTAAAGAACTTGACTTTTGTCGCGTTTGTATGCACAATGCCGCTAAAGAACCTGATCTTTTGTGGTATTTGTTAACGTAAAACGCCGCTAACAATTTCAGCGCTCATTTGGCATGCGCTTTTTGTAGGTTTTTTTTTGTGCCAAGAGTGTTTTTAGCGACGCTTTAAAACGTCGCTATAGGAAAAAATATGCCGCTATAGAACTATTTTGTTGTAGTGTAAAGATATCATGGAGTAGAAAGTGAATCAGTATATTCATTATTGAATATACATTTTTACTCTTAGAAAATATATCTCAAAGTTTTCAATTATCACAATTTTTTCAACAATTCCAACATGCAGGTTTATTTATTCATAAGAATCAAACAAATTTTAAGTAGAAGAGTGTAGGTATTGTTTGTTTTAATGTGGTTTCTTTGCAGAGAACTTTGGGATTGTTGCTTAGAGTCCCCTTGGGAGAGGCTTCCAACAGGGCCTAAAATTGTGGAAACTTTGTCCGATGATGACAGCAGCAAGGTTTGTAGTTTATCTTTCAGAATTTCCTGAATAATTTCTCATCGGGGCTGGCACTCGTGACCGAAATCCGAAATTGTATATATATATATGAACATGAGTATAGGTATATGATTTTTCGTGAATCCTTTAAGTAGTTCCAGATTTCTATTCTTTTTACTGATTTTCTTATTTTTCAGTTCGACTTATATAGTTGTATTGATGATCCGACATGTTCGGTTTGGTTTTTAATCAATGTGAATGACTCTTGTCTAGAGTTTTGCAAGGCTGCAAGTACAGCTTGCAATGGCTTGGGTTCATCACCAAGGGAATGATGTCTGCCCCATTCCTGGAACCACCAAAATCGAAAACTTTGACCAGAAAACACCCGAAGAGATGTCCGAGCTCAAATCCATTGCTTCAGCAGATTCTGTCAAAGGAGACACATATGGTGGCATGATTGTTACTTACGATGAATCCGAAACTCCTCCTTTGTTTTCATGGAAACCCGAATGAGTACTTAATGCAACTTCCATATTTGATGAAATCTTCATCATGAGGTATGGTCTTAACTCTTAAACTTAATGTATTGCCCTGGATATTTGTTTCGAAACCACCATGATCAAGTCTATTGGTTGTTTCTAGAGAATATTTGTATGCCAAAAGTAACAATAAGTCTGTTTTTATGATGATAACTTGCTAAGTTTGTCATGTTGAGACTGTGTATTCCAAGGATAATGAAACAATAGTTTCTGAAACAAGAAATAAGACTCCATTGCTGAACCTGTTGAAGCTACAGTTAGAAGAAAGAAGAAGAAATGGAAACAAAGGCGAGGAGAATAAAGCTAGGAACCCAGGCCTAGAAGTGTCGGCTCAAGGTCTAGGTTGCATGAGCATGTCAGCCTTCGATGGTCCACCCAAGCCCGAACCAGATATGATCAACCTTATCCACCATGCCATCAACAGTGGAGTCACTTTCCTTGAAGCTTCTGATGCTTATGGTCCACACAGTAGTGAAATCCTTCTGAGAAAGGCCTTGAGATTGGATATAAGGGAACGAGTCCAATTGGCTACTAAATCCAATGCTTGTTTTGTTGATCGTAAAAGGGAAATCAGGGGTGGTGACCCTGCTTATGTAAGGGAAGCTTGTGAAGCTACTTGAAACGTCTTGGTTTGGACTGTATCGATCTTTATTATCAGCACCGGGTTGACACCAGAGTCCCTATTGAAATCACAGTAAGTGTTGAACATATCCATGTCAGCTATATCCAACAATGTTTTTGGATAGTTAGACATTCCTAAATTTTGTGTCTCTCATTGCCTTTTCATTTTCTCAACTTGGTATTGTTGCTTATAGTCCTTTGAGGAGAGGGTTCCTTTCCTCGGGGTCTAAACTGATGGGAACTTTTTTGGATGCTGACTTCAAGAAGGTTCGTTCGATCCCGTAACATTTTCGACGAATGTTCCCGAAACAAAATGTTTGTGTTAAATGCTTAGACATATCAAAGTGAACATATTTGTGTCGGGGCTCTTACTCATGTCGAACACTTGCACTTGTGTCTGATCCAAAGTTCTAACTAGGGGATAGCTTGATTTTCTGCTACATGTTTCTAAATTGCTTTCTTTCAATGATAACTCACAGATATCTATCGATTTCCGCGGTTACTTCCGAGGTCCCAACCCAAAAAATTCGACCACAACAAACACCTGTTTGAGCAAATCGATGAGATGGCTACAAGAAAAGGGTGCAGGTGCAGCCCATCACAGCTTGCCTTAGACTAGGTTCATCACCAAGGGGAAGATGCCTGCCCAATACCAGGAGCCCCAGGTTTGAAAAACTTAAACATGAGAATACAAGGGTCATGTTCTATAATACTCATGTCCGAATATGTGTCGAGCACCGATATCGAGTACGAATGATTCAAGAAAAATGAAGAGTCGAAGCAATATAGAAAACCACATATTGACTTAACCAAATCTATTTTATACAAACACAGTTTCAATCTAAGAAAAGGAAAATATACTATTGGTTTTTCTTCTAATCTTGTGTTTGGTTTTGCACATTATGCTTTGTGCTTTAGTAGAGCGGCTCCAATGGTTGATCTCCTACAGTTCCAGATAATTTCGACTTCCATTGATTCCCAACAGCAAACTCGGCACTGGGATCCTTTCCTTCTCTGGTAATTTCCCTAACTTTGTTCACTCTTTTGATAACTCTTTTCACTGCAATGTCGACGGCATCCTCGAATCTTGATTTCGGATTTGCATATATGACCTTGGGGATCAACTTCACAACTTCTTTTCTCATTGCTTTTATTCGATGCTCCGAATACCTCGAAAGTGCTCTATCGATGCTCACGTTGTAGGTTTTGATGTCGTTTTCAGGGATGTAAGCTGAATATTTGGTGTAATTCTTAGGGAAGTACCATATGTATTGTGCGTAGGCCGAATACGGATGGAAGAAAACCGGTATACACCCCGAGATGATCGAATCGAAAGTCGAGCGCCGAGTGTACGAATCCCCCGGGGGCTGTAGGCAAAATTTGCAGTCCCTAAACACTTTGATCACTTCAACTGGTGTGTCACATTTGTTTCCCTCAGCCTTACAATCAAGAAACCTGCATGTTCGATTCGTTGCCGATAAACATTGATCGATGATCTCACCCCGGATTGACTCCTTCATGGTCGGGCGCGGTGCACCGGCGAAACAGAACAGGTGCCGTCTTTTTCGACCTCGGACTCGTTTTTGCCAACGGATCACATCGATGTCGCTCAACGGATGGAAGTAAGTCGGATAGGGTACGGCGAATTCATTGCTCCATGAACTTGATTCTATAGACAACATTGTAACGTTCATAAATTCAGGCAAGTTCATAAGCCTACTACCCCAACTGGATTCGTTATCGGATCGTCGCCGGAAATCCCAAGCGATCCTCCCGGCAACAAAGAAATGATCTCGACCGAACATCCGTTTCCATTCGAGTTGTTTCCGAAGCCAATCGACGATACCGAACGCCGAAGAGTCTCGGACCGATTCGTTATAGCCCCATAGGTAGCGCCCCACGTCGAGGCCGGCATAAAAGGGTATGTAAACAGCAGAAGCCATGGATGAATCATTGGTCAAGCACTCGTATTGCTGAATCCTTTGATGGAAGATGAGCTCCAACATGAACTGATTCGTTTCGAACCAGTTTTCTCCCGATAAAACACCTTGGGGTGTGTCGACTTTGGGACCAAACCCAGAATTCAGCAACGAAGGACACATATTAAACCACTTCACAAGGTTCCGACAATCCTCGAGAACCTCGACGTTGAATCTCCGAGGAAGACGATGAACATATATGTATTTTCCCGAACATGGATCAGTTATATTATCAACTACAGCTAATGAAACATTATTTTCCGGGAAAGGAAAACTCTGGGAATCTTCGGAAATTGGATTTGAGACCGGGATTTCAGAAGGTTCATCAATGGCGGCAAGCTGGATAGCTTTCTGGGTTTTCTCGGAATCAAAGGAGACGTCATTGTCGGAGCTGTAGAGAACTGAATAATCCAAGCAAAACAATAACAGACAAAAGACAAAGGAGACAAGAACAGTGCACCAGAACTGGTTATGGCAGTGGCCGCCATTGATGATCAGTTTCATCTCCATGTTTGAGAAAGTTATGAAACGGAAGAAATCAATGGCGGCTGAGGAATCATATGTGGGATTTGAGTTGAAAACAAGGAAAGAAGAAACCGACAAAGCCATTTATTAAGTACAGTGAAGCCATTAAAATGCAGAATAATAATCTTAATGGAAAGTTCTATTCCAAACATGCAAATCCCACGTTTCCTTTTATTACATGTTCCAAAGTTATTAAGCTTTATTATGTTTCCCTTTTTGTCTTTGAGAAGGATACGTACTAAGATCGGTTTAATTAAAACTTAACTAGTATTTAATTAATTTTAAAAAATAATAATTTAATTTGACTCGATTTTTTGAATTTCATATCATCATAATATCTGATCCGACTCAAATTTAAAGAAATTTTACTCGTTTTAAATTTGATTATTTTTTTACTCTTACTCAAAAATATTTCTGGATCTATCAATGAACATATCCATAAACAGATAAAATTATAAGATACTATATTGACTAAAAAATTTCTTTTAGTAAACCTGAATACAACCTGATCCGATCTGAATCAAATTATTTTTTTAAAAAAAATTTGATCTCATTAATTTAAATTCGAATAATTTGACCATTCTAACTTATATAACTCAATAAAACATTTTACATAAAATATTTAAATTGTATTATAAATTTACTCATCGTTAAAGATAAGTTACATTGCTGACCACCATATTTTATGGATCTAAATAGGAATGGTCATGAGTCGGGTTTTTGGTCCACCCGACCCGACAAAACAAGATTTCATCCGACCCGAACTCGACTCGATATATAACTTAGAAACCCGTTCCGACCAAAAATAATAAAAAATATCATTTTTATTCATTTTTATTTAATAAAAACAGTAATTTAATTGAAAAAAAATTATATATAAGGGTATTATTATAATTATTCATAAATATATAAAGTAAAAATTATATATTTTTTCGGATCGGGTCGGATATTTTTCACCCTAAACTCGACCTGACCCAAACCCGATTTTTTTTAAAATAAAAACACGACCCGAACGTGTCGTTTCGGGTTCGGGTCATGCCCATCCCTAGATCTAAATCACTTGAGACCTCTGATTTTTTAATTTATAAATAAATAAAAAAGTAAATGAGTAAATTGTTCTTTTAATAATTTTCTTAAATTTGTTGCTTTATATTAACTCCTCCAACGCATAAAGTTGGATTTTTTACTTAAATAATATCATTTAAAGGATATTTTATTAAATTGATATCTGAACTCATTAATGATCGAAATATTACTCATTATTAATTACATTTTATTAAATTGATATTTAAAGTTATTTATTATTGAAATAATACTCATTATTGATTAGGGTCATGGGATCGAGTCCCACGGAAGACATTTCATAATTCGAATGTCTCCTACGGAAGCTGCTCTCAACCTGGCGTTGGGGGCAACTTACTATCCTACATTCCCCTTACCTCATTATATATGGGAATAAGTGTCAGTTAATTTATTAATTGGGTGTGTCACGTAAGACAAAAGACATTTTGTTAATTATATTTTTTATCAATGAAAATTGGATTTTATTAATAAAAATAAAGAAATGAATCTACAATGCATTCAAGCATAGAAAGTAAAACGGAGACAGTAATCAACAAAAACTCGTACAAAAATAAAAATATGAAATATGAAAATATGAATAAAAATGAAAATTTTCTTGAGAATGATGATAAACATCAAAAGAATTCAATAACCTACATAAAAACTTTTTATCTTTGTCGAACGAGATGTTTTACAGAGTAATAAAGGAGTGGTGGGCGAACCAAATTATCTGACAGATTGATTATATAGGTAAATAACATTTTACTAAAGAGAAGATCTGACAATATTTGACCACTAACAAATCAATCAGAAAATAAGAACATTATGAGGCTATTTGTACGAGCACCAAAATGACCACAAAATTATGCAAAAAATATACCAAAAGTTGTCAGAATCGTGTCATTAGAGTATAGAAAATGCGTGGAACAAGAGTAGAGAAAAACGTGTCACAAAGATATAGATTCTTATTCAAAATTGAAAAAAAAACTCAAGAAAAATAGAAAATAAAAGTCAGAATAAAAAAGTAAGAAAACTAATAATCACCGACGGTCAATAATTAATAAAAAATTTATATCATCGTCGACTAAATAAAAATAAAAAGAAAGCGGAAGATGACATAAAAATATTAAGAGAAAAATTTATATTAAAAAAAAGAAATTCCCCTATTAATTATATCTTTATTACTTATTACATATTGAATCGACAACAACAAATATTTTATTTGATTGAAAAAAAGTGTGTTTCACATATAATTTTTTTTAAAAAAAATTTCTTTTCTTGATTTTATATTTTTTTATAATTTTAAATTATTTCCTACATTATATTCTTCTCAATTTACATGAATAATCATATTTGAATCAAACTTAAAATAATAATGATGTATTAAACATTATAAAAATACATTAATATTATTGTCATATACAATAAAAATGAGAAAAATTGTAATATCAGTGATATCTGCATGAATTAGTTCCACATTACGATGCATCTCAATTTTGATCATTTCCTGTTAGTTTGGAGATGATGATATTGTGTCGGTGGACGCTTTCACAGGACTGAATAGATTCGACTCGTTAATCGACATATAGTATATAAGATATTTTATATAGCACCATGACATGTAATCCTCTAAAACCTTAAATTCAAATATGGAGAAAATATGAGAATAAATATATGACCATAATGTTGGTCCCACAACATTAACTAGCAGATGAGATAAGAGCCCTAACATGAGCCTTGAGCAATGTTCAGTGTTGGTGAACAACTATAAGTGTTAAGATTAAGACAATAGTGTTGGTTATATCCAGGTAAGTGTTTAACGGTTCAGCTCAGTTTTCCGTCAAAAAAGTTAATAGATGTTAACATCGAGAGATCATTTGGTTACAGATTGATAATGTTAATGACCAATTTGTAACTTTTGAAAGTTTGATGGGGAAAACAAAAACTTACTCGAAGTTTAGTGACGATTGGTGTATCTTACCCCAATATTATTGTACAAAAATAATAACTAAATAAAATTTTAATGATATTACAAAAAATAAATAAAATGGTCAGCCTCATTATACACAATTCTTCAAAGAATCTCCGGCCCCTTGGAAGAAGCAATACGAGAGAGCGAAATCCGCCATGAAAATACCAACTAGAGAGGTAACCACGGCAGAAGTCGTTGACTCGCCGACACCTTTGGCTCCTCCCGTGGTGGTGACTCCCCAAGCACAGCTCACTATCGATATAACCATACCGAAAACCTGAGACTTGATCATTGCACTAACTAAATCCCACGAACATAAAGCCCTTTGCGCTGAATCTAAGATAATATTAATGCTGATCCCGTAAACACTATCGGCCAGAAGGGCACTTGATGCCATCCCAATTGTGAAACACATCAGAGTAAGAAACGGTAAAGCTAAGGACGTAGCGATAACACGGGGTGTGACCAAGTAATCCACTGGGCTTGATCCAAGAACTCTCAGTGTGTCGGTCTGCTCTGAAACCTGCATTGTTCCTAATTCCGCAGCGAATGCACTCCCGATTCGTCCAGCAAGCACAATCGATGTAACCACGGGACTTAGCTCCCTTGAGAAAGCTAAGGCCAATACCCCGCCAATTGATCGGTTCAAACCCAATCGGGTAAATTCTCTAACAAACTGAATGGTGAAGGCCATGCCGACAAATGCAGAGGTTAGAAGACAAACCCCGACTGATTTTGGTCCAACTCTCTCCAGTTGTTGGAGAGTATTCCTCCAGTGGACTTTACCTTTTAAGGTCCGAATCATAACCTGCCCTGCGAGGACAAGAACAGATAATCCTCTCCACAAAAACATCGGAGGAGACCATCCGCTTAAGAATGTCTCTGGTTCAGAAGAGGGTGCATTGTTCATATTGTGCTCTAATTCTAGCAAAGGGGCATACTCATAGCCGTCATCGGTGCTGGAAATCATAAACAACCTAGTTTTACGGATCGGTGTAAGAAACCGTAGACTCTGTTCTCTTCTGGTCAAGCCAATTTGCCTTGAATACCAGCCTCCTAGTTTAACCGATCCATGATATTTACTAGTGCTCCTTCTACAATAGGTTTAAAGCATCAGCCGTAATTCCATTTATGAATCGATAGTAGATTCTCAGTGAATTAGAAGAGAGAAAGAGAAAGACCTGCTCTGAAAGTAATATACCGGATGAAGTCGATAAGTTGTTCGCATATTTGCCACGTCGTCCCTGAACTTCAACCATAAGAGAGTTCAAGTAAGACCTTAAAGTTAGAATATTGCATGAATCGAATCCCAATCAGACAAAAGAATACACAAAACAATATATTCTTCTTCTTTTTCTCGATTTTTGCTTTCCTGAAAATGAAATTTAACCAAAAATCATCAACAATAGTTGTTTTTCGTCTAAACACATGAAAAATCAACATTGTACACAGTTGTTGAATTTAATAAATGAGTAGGCTAAATCCAAGAGGTTTTTAGGCCTTTTTTTCCAAAATTTGAATTTAAGTTGGCCTAGCTTGAGATTGAATCGGAAAGAAACCCTAAAAAGTTAATCTTAACAGCTCAAAGAAATCCTTCAATTTTAGTACAATTGCAAACAAAAGCGCAAGCTAGCGGAATACCCGAAAGCAGAAAACAAAGGATTATCTCAAGAACAGTTCAAAATTCCACTGCCCAATTACTCCAAATAGGTAAATTCACCTTCAGAACAAAGATCCAAGCTCATTTTTGCTAAATAAAACAATCTATAAGCGGAAAATTGATGGCAGCAGATTAAACCCTAAAAATCAAGAAAATAAAATGAACAAATAGTAGGAAAGAAGAGATGCAAAATACCTCTGACTGGAGAGAAGAATGGTAACGATCGCTATGGAGTTTGGCGGCTGTTGCACTGCACGGATATAATATAAGAAAACTACAAAAATAAATATATTACAATTATGGGTAAACTACACGTTTAGTGTCTTAACCATCACTTTTGTTTTATTTTGATCACCTAACAATTTTTTCAAAATCAAAATCACACCTGACGTTTAGTTTTGATTTCATTTTGGTCACTCATAGTTAAAAATAATAATGATAATGTTGACGTGTCACCATAAAGCAATTCTACATCATTATTGAAAAAAGTAAAAAATATCATCTCAACAGTTTTATTATTATTCTAACGGTAGGTGACCAAAATAAAATCAAAACGTAACGTTATACATGATTTTGAAAAAAAAAATAGTTGAATGATTAAAACAGAAAAAATGTGATAATTGGGATACTACTTGTTGTTTACCCCTATACTTATTATCAATCAGAAGTATATCGACTTTAAATAAATTTTAGTAATTTATTTCATATATAGTAAAGATTTTAAATAAATTATAATTTACTTTTTAAACAAATTAATCTTTTTCTAAATTCATTTTTGAGCAAAGCTTAAATATAAAACTATTTTCCAAATTTAACGGATACGCGGATCAATGAACACATTCGACTTTTATTGTTTTATAATAATTTTATTTATAATTATATATTTACGTAAACTATGAGTTTAGTATCTTAATTATTAATTTTAATTTATTTTAGTACCTAAACTTTTACATTTTTTAAAATTATACCTAGCATTTAGTTTTTGTTTAATTTTAATACTCCGTAGTTAAAAACTTAACGGACTCGTAGGCCGCCACATCTACAACCGTCGATCATTGCATCCGTCAGTTGATGAAGCTCTAACTTTCCAGCCCGCATCTTGACCCATGAACGTGATATTGGCCTCCATTTTATCAGGAAACACTTTAATCTCTCCAAATCAGCTGAGAATTTGATTTCTTCATCCTTCGATCTCCATGGTCCACCATTCAATGGGCAGAAACTAGACTACATTAATCAACACGTCATTCTCTCGTGGTCTACCGTTTGGATTGATTGTTCATCCTCCGGAATTATGCCACATTAGTCCATCCATTAAGTTTTTAATGACGGGTATTAAAATGAATTACAAACTAAAAATTAGGTATGATTTTGACAAAAATAAAATTTAAAATACAAAAAGCCGTTTACAGTTGATCCGAAATACCGTCAGCACCTTACTCAGCGTCTCGGTGCCATCGGTCATTTCCTGGAGCAGAAGTTTGGCTGCCCCCAGGACGTCGAAGGATGCGTCCTCGGTGAAGATATTTACGTGGTTCAGGCACGCCCTCAACCCCTGTAACAGCTTCTAGCTTATCATGTATCCAATAAGATTGCCATCCACGTCGAAAATAAGCATTTCCTTTCCATGGCAGTTCATGGATTATCTTCATATCCAAGCGTACGAAGCTCTACGTACCAAGTATGTACAGTTTTTAGCTACATATGTTCGTATTTTTCGGTATAAAACTTATACATGGATGCCGAAAGACGAGTTATTGATCTTGCCATACTGCAAAAATGCTAAGTACATGTTTTACCATGTGAAGGCAGTAGAAAGGTTGTCCTTGTGGTTCCGGTCGATAGTTTCGGCAGTCGGTTTATGTAAATCCGAGGGTTGCCGGCGAAATCCCGATGTTGTGGATGTCTTCAGCTTTGAGAACAAAAGGTAACACCATAGTTTTTGCTATTGCAGTTTGCTGAATAGCATCAATGTCCCTACTTTTGCTTATTGTTCGAGTTTGAATAGCAGTTCTGGATTTGAATAATGAACACAGGAATTTTGATGTTCCTAATTTACTTGAAGCATTACTTCGGATTCAGATCAGAGTCGGATGCAAATATTTATTAAATTTGACGAATTATATCTTTTGACTCAGTAATTTGATGGGTTTTTTAGTCGATTCAATTTGTTTAAGTTTTTTTTTTATTTAATTATAAATTTTTATAATATTCTGATATATATTGAAATTAAAATTTAACTTCAATAATTCAAAATTTTAAAAAATATTTTTTTTCCGAATTGAATTAAATTTTACTCACCCGGTTGACGACTGGTTCAATCCAGGTTCATAATTACTAATCTAAGGGATAAACTCACATTTAGTCCCGGAATTTGATAACTTTTTCAACTTAATCTCAGAACTTTTTTGGGTCCCAATTTAGCTCCTGAACTTAGGCTAGCAGGAACAACACTAATGGCACCTATGGTAAAGTTGTATATAGATCTCACCTTATATGTACAAAAGAAACTGAAAGTCATGGATAATCCAACAACGCAAACTTCACTTGTAAACTAATCTTACCACCTTCATTCACTAGCCTGGCTGCTGTTACCAGCCAATGTCCAGGAGCATCGTGCGGACCACGGACGACCTCCGATACATCTACATATTTTAGCAATTTTTTGGCACGAATTGGTGCCGGAGGACCATCGGGAAACACACCCGAATTAAGTGTGGTTGGAGCCGGTTTCTGTTGTCCGGTGAGCGTCCGTTGTGTGAACGTGAATGTTGTGCTAAGATTTGCGAGGAAACCGGCCTTACGAGAAGTTTCCGGTGCAGCACCCCACTCGGTCTTTCGGATCGTGCAGTCTGGTATACGAGTGTAAAGCAGACGAAGATGCAAAACTGTCTTTGGCCACTTCCCTTTGCTAAGGAGCTGTGCACCAGTTACGATAAAAACACCATTGGGAACGTCTTGAAACCAGTTAGGGTCATGTTTAACAACAGATGTGCATATATTTGAGAATCTCTTCCACTGGACTGCCTCTAAATATTGATCGCTCGATTTATAGTCATCAGAACCTCGCCATTGGCATGGTAGGCCTGATGGGACCGTCATTATATTCGGAAGACTAGAGAGATGCTGCACGTGTAATGCCAAACGGTTGCATTTCTTTCCTTCCAAGTATAGCCGGAGGCCAACCACAGGTTTTAGTTCACTCGAAACCTGAAATTTCACTGAATATGTAACGGAATATGGCAAAAATATGGCTGCATATGCAACCTTATACTTGCACATTTAATAGATCTTCATATCTATACATACATGTCTATGTATACATATATACCCGGACTAGAAAGGTAAAACTATAGACAAAAACATACACCAACTCTTACAAACTTCATCAGATGTTCATATTTAAAAGATTCTCCATATTCTGCCATCTAGTATGGATATGTTACTCAGATTCAGACGTTGGTCCAACATGGATATGTTCAATTTTTCTAGTTTTTTATTATATTTGGACGGACATTGAAGGTCATATCCCCATACTCATATCCGAATGTGTGTCGGAGAGTGTCGATCATGGATACTTCAAAGAAAATGAGATTAGATCCAATGTTATCGTCCACTTGCCGATATGGTAAATCAACTCCATTTTCCACTGGACCATAAAAAGTTGCATTTCATTATAACAAGGTGACAACATCAAACCTTCTACGACCCCACCCACTACGGTAGGACCTATGCTACCCCAGGTTTTCGTATATTTTAAAATATCCATGTTCGTCACCTGTATCCGACTCACTTCTAGAAATGGTATAGGGATGTGTCTCTCCAAGGATCCTCCAAATATATGAAAAAACTTGGAAAAAGAATTAGAATATCCGTTTTGGGCACGTTTTTGCATCCAACATTCACACTTGAGACCGAGTAACATAAGTTAGTACTATACATGTAAAAGTCATTCTTGCCATACTAATAAGCCGACTGCAATAAAACAAGGCTTTGCATGCTGTTTGAGTACCTGAGTAGAGCTGACTTGTATCTTAGGACCCATGAAAGCGAACTGCAGGGAAGGGCAAGAAGCTTTTTTCCTATGATGCCTCAGAGGCAGCTCACAGAACATAGGTGCCCACTGTCGCGGAACTTGAAACTCCAAGAAATATCGTAAATCCTCCGAAGCAGGCTTGTCTACACATATTCAGCAAGTTAAAGTACTTTGCTATCACAATATATATATATATATATATATATATATAGAAACAAGATCTAAATGATTTGTAAGGCTAAAGTCCTCTAATAACCAGTACAAATGTTCTTGAGCTCTCTCTACTTGGATTCTTTAAAGAAAAAATCCCCTATGTTTTTAACTTTTTTAAATCAAGTAAAATGTAGGAACAAAGGAGAGGGTAAATCGATCCCTCTAGTTTTCATGTGGTTTTGATAGACTTGATAAAAGGAAACAGATTAAAATCGAGTTGGAAAGAGAATTTGCCTCGGTAATCAAATAGATTACGGGATCTTGATGCACTTTCTCACAGACCAAACATACCCCGAACCTCAAAATCAGAAAATATACACCAGAGCAAGAGAAAGGAGTCAAGCAAGTTCTTCATATTTGAACACATAATTATAAATCTGTTCCTTTTTTTTCTCGTTTTTTATTCTTTCTGACCAAAAAGCCTATAAAGATCTCCTAGTCTTCCCACCAAAACTGTTACACTAGTGAAGATATTTGGCTATATTTTTTAACAGAGAAGGACTCCAATCATCTTCAAAATCATATTTAAAGTAATCACATAAGTTATTTCATTAGTTCGGCAGTATAATACTTACAACGAAGATACAAGTTGATTGCATGACTGAGATACCCACTTCCCGGAATCCCAGTCAGAAGAGAAGTAATTGGTACAAACTTGAAGGAAATTCCCTCCGGTTTAGCAGGTACTGTCTGGAGCCAGTTGGAATGACCCTGCAAGAATACATTTCCTCCTCTTTTCGAACAAATGATAGTGAGTCCCTACTCAAGTTGAAAACAAAGGAAAAAGGTTAATTCATAGATTCAAATGATTATTAAGAAAAAAAGAAGGATCACAAAACACTCAAGGTCTAGGCTTACATCTTTGCTCGATGTTTCTGCAATGCTGGCCAACTGCAAGGTGTTTGACTGTAAGATGCGGTTAAAGACCTCAGGCACCTACATAAACAAAATGGAATTGAGAAACAATATTGTTGTTTACCGAAATCAAGAGCCTTTAAATCTTGATGAATTGCTAGTACTTTTTGTTTGTAGTCCCCTGTTTTTCTCTGTAATAATGAAGGGCTATTCCCATCAGAAAACATAACATCTCCGAGATCCTCCAAATACCCTCTGAGCTCAGAAGCAGGAATTGAAGAGGAATAGTTCTGTCTGACACATATTAAATCTTGACCACCGATAGCCATGCCGACTATTATGTGTGTCCCATATGTCTGTATGAACCTGACCAATACAATATATTAGATATTTTTTTTTGACAAGAATACAATATTACCTTTCATTGATATAATGATCTTATTTTCCCCAGCATCCAAATTTGCAAATTTAGATACATCACCGATACAAGTTAGTAGGCAATTCTGCATGTCTGTGTATGTATTAGAATTCCCCACTCGGCCAACCCCCTTTTTATTCATTGGAAAAGGATATTCTAACCAAAATAATCCATATTACCTTTCATTGATATAATGATCTTATTTCCACAAAATTGCAGAAAACATTATATCGAAAACCTACCTAGCCAATGCTGCTGGATCCCAGTGGGGTGGAACAGACTTCTTAACTCTGTCATGTAGCACAAGTGGCGACGCTGTAAGGTGTAAATGATATAACGAAATAAAGTAACCATCGAAAGCAAGGTTTTTGGTATCTTCAGCATCATGAAGCCAATCTCCTCTCAAACCAAAGATAGAGTTAAGATAGCCAGAAGGAACTTTTCCTTGTATCGAAGACTTCTGATTAAGTAACTCCGACATCTGCATGAGAAGTAAGCTTTGGAAGCAGATATAAGGTACAACATCAAATAAATTTATCCAAACCAATATATCCATCTTAATCAGTACAGCGTTTAACAGAGTGCATAATCCTAGATCGTTTTCACAATAAACCTTGCCCTTTTGTTCTTTTTGCTTCCTTCATCATAAGGGTCCTGTAGAAACCCTTCAATATATTTAAAGAGACATCCAATTTATGCAAATACAAACCAAGTTCCCCTTCCAACTTAAAACAAATATCGTTAAATACAAATCCGATTATGCAAGTATTCTAGCTTTACTTTCTTTTCCAACTCTAAACTATGAAGTTGCAGAAGTAGAGATGTCCTTAGTTAAAAGAGTTGAAAAATCAAGTTTTATCCAGATGTGACATAAGTCTAACCTTTCATCCCTCAATTTTGAAGGCTCACCCACCACAAAGCAATGCCTATGAAATGAAACAGAAAGCATGACGCTATTTTTAATATATTTCCTTTTCATATTCAACTTCCAAGTTTCAACCTCTATTCACATAGAAAAAGACATTGTATTCAATTAATTGCTGTCAACTTCATGCTGAGCCCAAATGGCTAAAAATAAATGTAATTTAAATGCAATGGAAAAAAATTTCCATGGATAGCACCTCTGCTAACTAGAATTAATTATTAGCATCCTTGGTCAAATTTTCTTTTTTAACTTTCTTCAATCCCACAAGTTCAGCAACCTTAAAATAGTTTGTAGTACAAGTTAGCCATTTCTGGCTACATTTATCTCATCTTTTTTGGGGGGCTCAAAATAGAATTTTACCAGTGTTAACATACAAATTTTAGGATTAAATCATGATTTTTATCATTGGGGGGGTTGCAATTTTACCATATATTACCTTACAATTGAATGCTTTTCATAGGGGCTTATGTACAATTTAACCATTTTACTACCCAGGTTCGCCCCTAACACAACAGAACATATTGGAAAAAAAACTTAATCCATGGATCAATCAGGGAACAAATACAAATCAAAATTCCATAATTTTTTTGAATTATACTTTATAAACACAAGAAACCCCCAATAGAGTTCTTCAATTAAACAAAAGAGAGAAAAATTCCAGACCTGATTGAATTCAAGAACATCGGATTTGAAACGAATGCGATCGCCTTTATCGAGACGAATACCCTGAGGAACATCTCTAACAGTAAAAGCACCTGGAAACACAATGTCTCTTTTGTTGGTTTCATCGAGCTCAACCAACCTCGGTCCTTTAGCATATTTCAGCCTGAAATCTCCACTTATATCAAGCCCTTTCCCCAGAGCTTGAATTGCTCGTACCTCAATTGGTTTCTCACTTTCCTCCGTACCCATACTTCTCTTTTCTCCCCTAATTCTCTAAATCTCTAGCTCAGAGCCTCAAATCCACACCAGCAACAGCAAAAGCTACAGAAATGGAGCTTTGGGTTGATCTATTAATTTTTTTTAGAAAGAAATAGTATTACAAGATTAGAGACGCCAGCTTTCAGGACTGTAGTGTGTGTATATATAAAGAGAGGAGAAAATATATTACCTGGGCAGATAGGGTTGAATAAAAATGAAGAAGACACGTTTTGGGAGAGTTGAAAAGCAGGTTTTATTTTTACCCTTTTTCATGGGGTATTGAGTTTGAATGGAATTGGACTAGGAATTTGAAAATTAATGCGTGAAAAGAGTGGCCATTTACAGGGAGGAAGAAAGGAAAGATATTATTTTGGGTACATTTATTAAAGGATAAAATATAAAAATAGTCCCTTAACTCTTAGGTATATTATATTTTGGTAATCCAACTTTTAAAACTTGCAATACAGTTATCATAGTTCTTTTCGGGTAAGGTCCCACCGTTGCCTCAGTTAGTTTTTCGCTGACATGGCAGTTAACTTCCCGTTAACCCCATCTTCTTCTTCATGTTAACTCTTCTTCTTCTTCCTTACTGATACAACCCATGAAAGAGAAGAAGCTTGGTTTCCTCTTTTAGGGGAGTTGCTTGGACACTCCAATCTGTTAAAGATGATCAAAAGAACCAGCATACAGATCAAACTTGCATAAACACCTTGCAAATAAAGAACACAAGTAGACAAAAAGCAGTCATTGTCTCATTGAGTAAAACAAAAAGAAACAATGTTGTTTCAGACCATACTAGAGCTTGTAGCATCAACTCATAGAAAGAATGCTCCATTATTTGAACGAACAACTAAAACACAATTATATACTTCACAAATACGATGACCAGCTAAGAAAGCACCAACAATGATGAAAGCCATTTACTGCAAACCACACTGTATTTTTTAAGGTTAAATAGCAAGTATACGAGATCCCCTCTACACAGCTTTTGCCTCCCCACATGTAGGCCCTGGTTTCGAACCAAACTGATCAGTTCAGAAAATAGAACAGAACAACCAAGTACAAACCTTCCCCATTGCCTAAGTTAGCACTTCTAAATCATTCAGCAGTAAGCAACAAAGTTCTTGTAGACATCAATTTTTTTCATTTAAAATTATTATTATTAAAATTATTATTATTAGTATTATTATTAGTATTAGTATTATTATTATAATAATTATTATTATTATTATTATTATTTATTATTATTATTATTAATATTATATATTATTATTATTTAATAAATAATTACAAAACTGGAAGCCCATTTACAAGCCCAAATACCAGGCCCAACCAGAACCGACCCATACCCAAATGGAAACCCTAAATTGATTTAGGGTTTCAGCTAGGGTTTTCAAACCCTAGCCCCCAGCCGCCGTCAACATCATCAGCCGTTGGATCTGGCAAGATCCAACGGCCCAAAAGGGTTCCAGATGGAAAACCCTAGGGTTTTTAACCCTAGCAGCCAGCCGTTTCTAGATGTTTCCAGCCGCCTCCGATGAGTCCAGGTGGTCCAACAGCTGCTGCCGACACTCCAGAACGTCACGAAGCTACCCACGTTGAGCCCTATGGTGAGTCACCACCATAGCTATGGTGACTCACCGGGCCTTTCATCTCTGGAACCGGTCCAACGAGAGCCTCGGTGGTGGCTATAAAAGCCACCCCACCTGCAAGAAAAAAAAGACAGCCACATAGAGCAACGAAGAACAACAGAAAAACAGACGAAGAGAGAACAAAAAAGAGAGAGATACGAACAGCAACCAACAACCAGACAAAAACAGAAACCAAGAAAGAAAGGAAAGCTTACCAAGGAAGCCACCGGTGATCGAAGACGCTACAGGCCGACTAAACTATTTGAAATACCCGAAGGTATTTCTTCAGATCTACTCCGATCGGGAGTTTTTTTAGGGGAAACTAATGCCGGATTCGGCCTAATAGGGTTTAGGAGGTTATTTGGGGTATTTAGGAAAAACCCGGCCACCGCGTGTGGTGGCCGGCGGTGGAGACCGACACCGGAGTACGGTGTCCGGCGACTGCCGGAAACTCTCTCGGTTAGAGAGAGGCGAGAGAGTTTTATAAACTCTCTCGGTTAGAGAGAGACGAAGCGGAGAGGAAATGAGGGATGCTGGCCCTACGGGCCAGCCATTTGGTCTTATATACCCCTCCCAAACGACGCCGTTTTTGGGCAGGGGTATATCTGTAATTTCGCGCACGGGTCAAACCTCTCGCGTAGTCATCCTAGATTTGTAAATTTCTATTTTTGTCACTAAAATCAATTCTTATACGTTTTAATTTCGTCTCGTAATTTTATTTTATTTCATTTTAGTCCTAGCCTGTATGTTTAAATATTTAGGATAAATAATATATTTAGTCCCTTAACTCTAATAAATAATATTTTAATCCCTAGTTTATATTTTTAATTTATTTTAATCTTATATTCGAATTTTAGATAAGTTTATTTTAGTCACTAAATTAATAAATAAGGAAAATAGCATGTTTAATCCCTATAATTTTAAATAATTAATTATGAATTAGGTATTTAATTTTATTAGATTATAATTTAGTCCCTAAGTTTAATATTTTCATTTACAAGCTTTATTATTTTTTATTTTTTTATACCATGTTTTAATTGTATTTTAAACATTATTTAATCATATGTTACCTTTATATATTTATGTTCATATATATTTAATTATCATTACTATTATTATTATTGTTCTTTATTAATTATGTCAATATATATAGTCTTATAAATATATATAATATTTATTTATTTATTCTATTTTCCTATTTATAAATTTAATTTTATAAATTACTTTTAAGAAAAATAATCATATTTTGATATTTATTTATTTTTAATATCAAAGAAAAAAGTTGTCTTAAGGTACCTAGAAGCTCTTTTCTGATATTTTTGAATAAATAAATATCTTACTATATTAAAATAAAAGGTTTTTGATATTTATTTTTAAATATTAAAGAAAAGAGCTGTCTTAAAGCACCTAGAAGCCCTTTTCTGATATTTCTAAATAAGTAAATATATTATTTATGTATATTAATATATTTTCTTAAAATTATTTGAAACAATAGAATTATGAATTAAATATATCTTTGAATTTTTAAATTTCCAATAATAGAGACAATTTATAATTAAAAAGTACCAATTTTGGGCGTTGTAGGGGTGCTAATCCTTCCCTAAACGTAACCGACCACGAATCCCTTTTTATTAATAAAAAAGAATGAATTTTTGGTTAAACGCAGATCAGTTTATCTTTTAACTGATGTTTTCTTAAAAACTCTTTTAAAAGATGATTTTTAGGTATTCGACCTACCTGACCCAAAAGGCCGATGGCGACTCCAAATTATTTTTAAAAAAAATATTTATTCACATCATTTTCCCCGTCAAATTTAATATTTCGTGCCCGGACGAAAACCGGTTACGACAGCTTGGCGACTCCGCTGGGGATGATCAAACTTTAAAATCAATTATAAATTGTCTCTATTAATTAGAAATTAAAAATTCATTTATTTAATTTTTAATTCTTTTCTTTCAAATTTTTATTATTTTTATATTAATATTGTTTTTTTATTCAGGTATTAATTATTTTATTTATCTGTTAGAGGTTTGAATATTTCTCCTCACACACAACACTTGCATTGCATAACATAAAGCTCTATAATTGAGTTTGTCCCTTTTAAGTGGGAGTGAAAGCGACGTTTTCGTGAGAATTTATTCTCCGTGTCAGACCTAGCAAGTAACTTTTGGGGTTCATATGCTCTATGTCTTCGTGAGAATTTATTCTCCGTGTCAGGTATAGAGAAATGTGTCCCCTCGAATTGAACTCGATCCGTTTAAGTCTGTAATGGACTAGGATTGAGGGTTGACAGCCCAAGGGGGCATCAACAAGGACAATTCGAGTACCTTTACTCTTAGAACTGAAACTCTGCATATAATAAACCCTAGAAATTCACCTAATCTAAGACAGTACTGAACCTCTATTCATAGGTGTACACCAAGGAGAAATAAGCTCTAGCTTTTAATTTATTTAATTTATTATTATTTTTTCTCCCTGAATAAATGCATGCGAACTAGAAATCATGCGGTTAGGTTAATTTTTCCAAACAAAGCATGGAACTAAAAAGCATGAGGTTAGGATTTATTATATACCATGATAAATAAATTTTTCTTTCAATTAGTTGGTATTAACCATTTTATTTTTTCTTATTTTCCCATGTATGTTATTTTTGCTCTAATTTGTTTATATTGTTTTCTTTTGTTTGCATTGCATGATCATGAACAAAAGGTGTTAACTGAAAAGACTGTTCATCAAATTAGAAAGAAATCATAAATGGACAAAAAGTTCTATGATCAAACAAAATATGATGCGGCCAAGAAAAGACATCCTCAAGGAACTCCAAGGATAGATGAGAGCTATGCACCCAAAGATTATATGCCCATTAAAGATCAAAAGGAGATACGTGAGATAAGAGAGCAGATGTCCAAGATGATGGAAAGAATATCTGTTTTGGCCAAAAGAGAAGAGATTCCTGCACAGAAAGAGAGAAAGCTTAATAAAGATAATCCTGCAATTTCATATATGCAAGGGAATTCTGATCCTAACCAACTTGAGAAATTACAGACAGTCATCATTCGTATTCACAAATCGTCTGGAAATACCAAAGAAATGGTGACCACTGTAAAAGCTCTCAGAGATGAGAAGAAATCATGTGATCAGAAATCATCAAAATTTGGTCTGCTCCCAATGACTAAAACTCAGGTTCAATCCAAGACAAAAGGTGGTTCTCATCTTGATACTATCCCCATATCATATAAAGAGTTGTATGAGAAGCTACTTGAAGCACGAGAAGTGGATCCATATTATATAAAACCGTTCCAACCTCCGTATCCGAATTGGTATGACATCAACGTTCATTGTGAATATTATACCGGAGCTCAAGGACATACCATCGAGAATTGTCTTGCATTCAAATGCCGAGTCCAAAGTCTTTTGGATCATGGAATCTTACAATTTATGATAAATGATCGACCTAGTTTGGTAACCAAGGGTCTTGATAGATTAATACCAAAAGTTTTCAAAGGTAAGAATATCAGTAGGGGCGCCCAGAGAGAAGAAGATTTGCTAAGATTTGAAGCTCAAATACGTCATTTGAAGATTGAAAACAATAAATTGAGCACCAAAATGGAAGCCATACATGAAGACTTCCAGAAGGTCAGTCAAGCTTTTCAAAATGCTGGTATAAGAAACATCCC